CGGTTGGGGGTGTTCTCTACGGTCGGAGGATGTTCTCTACGGTCGGGGGTGTTCTCTATGGTCCGGGGGTGTTCTCTACGGTTGGGGGTGTTCTCTACGGTCGGAGGATGTTCTCTACGGTCGGGGGTGTTCTCTACGGTCGGGGGGTGTTCTCTACGGTCGGGGGTGTTCTCTACGGTCGGGGGTGTTCACTACGGTTGGGGGGTGTTCTCTACGGTCCGGGGGTGTTCTCTACGTGTGACTGTCGGGTCGCGTTGACTTCGGCAGTCGTGTTTGTAGCATTGAACCACTTGTACAATTCTCCGTTAGTGAGATGCGAGTGCAGGTAAAATTTGACAGTGGTCACGCAAGGACTCGCCCCCATAAATCTCCTGTATGTAGCGTTGTCCATTCTCTAAAGGCGGTTCTACTGTATATAATCAGGAAATAGACTATTGATAGATAATTGATAGACTCCTGATATAATTACCATTAAAGGTAAATTTCGAGTGTTTTTTATAAACAGGAATCCATTCTATAATGATGCTACTACATGAGCATACAATTGTTCACTTGTTTGTTTGTCGTGCAGGACTACAGCGATCTGTTTGAGTTTGGCGACGATGGCGGAGGCGGCGGGGAGGACGACGACACGTTCCTCGTGGGAAGCCCCGGTCGCGTGCGCATGAAGTCTGGATCAACGCCCGTACACCCTAACTACTTCGGACCCTTCCAGGTACGGACGCGTGCGCGTGATGGCAGTGACACTAACTGTAAAACCTACCTTAAACTAACCGTTGGCTGGCTGACTGGTTGGCTGGCTGACTGGTTGGCTGGCTGGCTGACTGAATGGCTGGCTGGCTGACTGGTTGGCTGGCTGACTGGTTGGCTGGCTGGCTGACTGAATGGCTGGCTGGCTGACTGGTTGGCAGGCTGGCAGGCTGGAAGGCTGGCTGGCTGGGTGACTAACTGACTTGGTTTACGGTTAGTTTATGGTAAGTTTATGGTTAACGGTTAGTTTATAGTAAGTTTATGGTTCACGGTTAGTTTATAGTAAGTTTATGGTTCACGGTTAGTTTATAGTAAGTTTATGGTTCACGGTTAGTTTATGGTAAGTTTATGGTTAACGGTTAGTTTATGGTAAGTTTATGGATTCCCATTCAGTCAGCCAGCCAGCCAGCCAGCCAGCCAGCCAGCTACCCATTCAGTCAGCCAGCCAGCCAGCCAGTCAGCCAGCCAGCCAGCTACCCATTCAGTCAGCCAGCCAGCCAGCCAGTCAACCAGTCAGTCAGCCAGCTACCCATTCAGTCAGCCAGCCAGCTAGCCAGCCAACCAGTCAGCCAGTCAGCCAGTCAGCCAGCCAACCAGCCAACCAGTCAGCCAGCCAGCCAGCCAACCAGCTACCCATTTAGTCAGCCAGCCAGCTAGCCAGCCAACCAGTCAGCCAGTCAGCCAGTCAGCCAGCCAACCAGCCAGCCAGCCAGCCAGCCATTTTTGCAACGAATTCATCGTTTGCAATCTTTATTTTGTTCGTGCGTCATCGTAACGTGTGATCGTTGTGTCTTCCGCGCGCGTGTGACAGGTGCAACTCCTCACCAAGTACCTGACGCACACGCTGCTGCCGGGCTTGACCAGCCTTGATCAGATGCACCTGCTAGCGATGGCCGACACAGTAGCGTCCACCGACGCTGACCGATACGGAACCACGCAGACTGCAGGTACGTACTGACCTGAATGATGGTGTAGATGCGATGATAGGTTATGCTGAGTGCATGTATGCGGCACGTATGTGACCACCCACATGGTGTAGCAATGTTGACACGCGTTAGTAATCTAGTTAAAACATCAGGTAAAGAAAAGACGCGGCAATGTGGTCATAATCAATCATGATACACGAGCGCGCGGGATTTTCGGCAAGTGAGTCTCGTTAGAACGTGCGCGCGCTCGTTGTTCTAGTTCCTCGCGTTCGCGCACGACGCCGTGATAGTCGTTTAGCGTGCTCGCGCAGTACAACAACACTACTGCGTACGGTTTTTAGCAGTCGTGGATGAATTTGTTGCTTCAGATAAGAAGAGTGCTGAGTCGTACAGTGGGATGGGTCTCGGTGGAGGAGGCGGGGGCTATGCAGCCGTTACTGCTGTCAGCACTGGCACAGGTTCGTATCGCCCTCCTATATCCTGGCTGTCTTTCCTCGTATATATATCATATATATCTTAAATATATAGCCAGTCATGGTGTCGCTCTGGTCGTGGCTAAGAAAATTAATGTTCAAATTCTGTGTCTAAATTCGATTGCTGATTTCTATAACTCTCAGTTCTACTACGTACAATACCTATAGTGAAATCCATAAGCATTCAGCCAGTGCTGATTTCTAAAATTCCCATTTCTACTACGTACAATACCTATACTGAAATCCATAAGCATTAATGATCAGTCAGTCCTGCGCGGGTGTTGCCGGTCCCTTGCGTAGGGGAGGGTATGTGGTCGCTGTTTCTAACGCTGCTGCTGCTGCTGATGATGTTTGCTGCAGACACGATCGATGACTGTGGTCTGCGTTTCCTGCTCGCCATGCGGCAGTACACCTACCTGCAGCGCTCGCTGCCTCCCGTCCACCGCGCGCAGCTGCAGCAGATGGGACTGTCCACAGCGATGTTCGCATGGGCACTCCACTCCGAGGCACAGGTGAGTCGCCGTCTGCTCGCTAGATGGCGCTGTCGTGCTCGCTTGATGGTTAGCGTTGTCGGGGTTTGCGTGCGTGCGTGTGTGTGTGCAGGCGTGTCTGTGCATGTGCGTGCGGGTGTACGTGTGTGTTGCGTTCGTGCGTGCGTGTTTGTGTGTACATACAATTCTATTACACACGTGAATCATGTGTAAGCGTCGTGAATCATCAGTCTATGATCGCTCCGTTACTTCGCATTGCCAGTTTCCTTTCAAAAAACACATATCTATTCGTAATTACGAGCGCGTAAAACTGTCCCGTAACGATGTCGGTCGATAACGTGCATGCGTGGGTGTGATAATCTGCGCGTGTGTGTGCGTGCTAAGGTCTAACGCGTGTGTGCGTGCGTGCTAAGGTCTAACGCGTGTGTGCGTGCGTGCTAAGTCTGTAGACTGGCGTGTGTCGTGGCGTTGCTAAGCTGTAACGCGTGTGTGCGTGGCGTGCTAAAGCTGTATACGCGTGTGTGCGTGCTAAGGTTACGCGTTGTGTGTGTGCGGCTAAGGTCTAACGCGTGTGTGCGTGCTAAGGTCTAAGCGCGTGTGTGGCGGCTAAGAATCTAACGCTTGTGTGCGTGCGTGGCTAAGATCTAAGCGTGTGTGCGTGCGTGCTTAAGCGTAACGCGTGTGTGCGTGCGTGCTAAGCTGTAACGCGTGTGTGGCGTGCGTGGCTAAGCTGTAACGCGTCGTGTGGCGTGGCTAAGGTCAACCGTGTGTGCGTGCTTAAGGTTTACGCGTGTGTGCGTGCTAAAGGTTACGCGTGTGTGGTGTCGTGCTATAGGTTCTAACGCGTGTGTGTGTCGTGGCTAAGGTTACGCGTGTGTGTGTGCGTGCTAGGTCTAACGTCTGTGTTGTGTCGGGCTAAGTATCTAACGCGTGTGTGCCGTGCTAAGTGTGCTAACGCGTGTGTGTGTGCGTGCTAAGATGCTAACGCGGTGGTGTTGCGCTGGGCTAAGTCTAACCGTGTGTGTGTGCGTGCTAAGATCTAACGCGTGTGTGCGTGCGTCCTAAGCGTAACGCGTGGTGGCGGTGCGTGCTAAGCTGTAACGCGTGTGTGCGTTGCTAAGGTTACGCGAGGTGTGAGCGTGCTAAGCGTCCTAACGGTCCGTGTGTGCGTGCTAAGGTTACGCGTGTGTTGTGTGCCGTGCTACAGGTCTAACGCGTGGTGTGCGTGCCTAAGGTAGGCGTGTGTGTGTGCGTGCTAGAGGTCTAACCGCGTGTGTGGCGTGCCTAAGGTCTACGCGATAGTGTGTGTGTGTGCTTAAGGTCTAAACGCGTGTTGTGCCGTGCTAAGGTCTAACGCGTGTGTGCGGGCTAAGGTCTACACGCGAGTGTGTGTCGCGTGCTAAGGTCTATTAACGCGTGTGTGCGTGCGTATTAAGGTTATACGCGTTGTGTGTGTGCGTGCTGAAGGTCTAACGCGTGTGTGCGTGTCTAAGGTTACGCGTTGTGTGTGCCTGCGTGCTAAGGTGCCTAACGCGAGTGTGTGCGTGCACAGGTTACGCGTGTGTGTGTGCGTGCTAAGGTCTAACAAGCGTGTGTGCGTGCTAAGTTACGCGTGTGTGTGTGCGTGCTAAGGTCCTAACGCGTGTGGTGCGTGCTAAGGTTACGCGGGTGTGTGTGGCCGTGCTAAGGTCTAACGCGTTGTGCGTGCTAAGGTTACGTCGCTGTGTGTGTGCCGTGCTAAGGTCTAACAGCGTCGTGTGGCGTGCTAATGTACCTAACGCGAGTGTGGTGTGTGTGCTAAGGTCTAACGCGTGTGTGCCGTGCTAAGAGGTCTAAAGCGCGTGTGGGCGTGTCTAAGTCTAACGCGATGTGTGTGCGGCTAAGGTCTAACGCGTGTGTGTGTGCGTGCTAAGGTCTAACGCGTGTGTGCGTGCTAAGGTCTAACGCGTGCGTGTGTGCCGTGTGTAAGGTCTAACGCGTGTGTGGCGTGCTAAGG